ATATATGACATACATACATATATATATATATATATATATATATATATATATATATATATATATGGATTTGTGAACACTTGGCTGTTTCTCCCTCAATTGCAAGCAAAACAAACCTGAGGAAATAGCCACCACTAAAACAAAAGACTATCCTTCCTAATCTAGTGTTACCAACCTCAAAGTAATTTATGTGCTGTTCTCTAACTCTCTTAGAAGTCCTTAGTCTCAGATAATCTTTCATACTACTACCACGGCTATTACGATTATTATTTTATTAACATCATTATTTGTTTTTTTGCAACGCGATCACTTCCAGCATTAGCTGGTCTGCTGGGATTGGGTGTCTTGTATAATAGTCTCTTGTTTTGCGGTTTGTCTTGTGCTTGTTCTTTTGTATTTGTTTTTTGTTTTCTTCATTTCTCAAGCTATAGCAATTCCTTCCCCCTTATCTGCTTTTTAAAATGCTGGCTTTTTGAAAATACCAAGTCAGCTGTCTTGAAGAAAACACCACATTCTGAATCTGTGGTTCTGGGTTGTTTATGCTATTTCTCCAGTGCATAACGGATTTGAGACCTGAAGCGTTTACAATATAATGAAATGCTACACCATAGCTCATGTTTTCCAAAGAAAAGCCGATGACAGTACAGCTGAATTCGAGAGAGGAGGAGAGTGGAGAATAGGGCTGCAATGAATCATACAAGTTATTTTAATTAAGCTCAAAATAAATTAGGCTTCCTGGCAGTGTACACACACACACACACACACAGAGGCATGTTATCTTCTAGGGGTCTTGGTCAGGCTGTACTCTGCTAATTAAATTAAAAGCAGGAACAACTCAAACATAGCAGGCAGCAATAAGTAAATTTAATTAAAAATTAAGTACACACACAGGGATTGGTAGTGTTAAATGTTCTCGGTGGCCTAGGATCTGCCCCGGCACCTCATTTCGAACTGACAGACTGATGAATTTATGGAAAGGAGGAGGAGCTGACAGGGCCACAGCTTCAGGTAAACATGTTCTGGACCAGCTTCCAACGGTCAGCTAGAAGGTGTGGAGGGGAAGCTGCTGGCCTGAGAAAAAGCAGGTCATGCCTTTGTCACAGGTTAGAGTGGAGAAGAAGCCCGAAGCTAACAAACTTTATTATTATGTGTTGTTCCTTTTCTTGTCTGTGTACCTATCGGGTTGCTTCTACTTCCTGGTTCCTTAAAAACACACTCTACTTGATCACATATAAAGTACTATGAAGGCAAAATACCTGTCACTCAAAGAGAGTAAGAGATGGTTTACTCTTGTGCTGAATAGACCTTGGCCCAGGGACATGTGATTCAGGATGCCCCAAATTGTTGTGTGATATTTTGATCGAACTCTGATGGTCCCAGGACTGCCAATAAAATTTGCTTTGAATCATAGGGCAGAGTTAGCTACTGGATGACCAGAATTAATCATAGAGGTTTTGGAAGACTGAAGACAGACAGGAAGCAGTAGGTTCTTGGTCTTTTTGGATCAAGGAACGAGAGAGGAGAGGAGAGAGAGAGAGAGAGAGAGAGAGAGAGAGAGAGAGAGAGAGAGAGAGAGGAGAGAGAGAGAGAGAGGCAGTCACTAATAGTTTCTCCATCGCTTCTCTAATCATTTAGGTTCTTACCACAATATCTGACTCCTGGGTTTTTAATTGGTGAAGAATAATTAGAAAACATGCTTTACTGAATGACACAGTCCAATTTGGAAATAGTTTCATGAAGCTCTTAAAAATGCTATAGAAGAACAGAAAGTCTTAAGGCATTTTCAAATACAAATACACTCTGATATCTTTCCAAACAAATAAAAGACCTCCATGTCCTTTTATCCTCCTCAGTAGGAAGGGTTTGAAAATGCAGAACAGTACACATACAGATCAAGGAGGCCTACACTCTGGCTTGCCTTCAACACAGATGTCATGGAACTGGAAATGTCATCCCCATTTAACTATATAATTTTGTCTGAATCAAAACTCAACCTCATTAATTGTTTTATTATGTTTTTACTATATTATAAAATTCTGGTTTACATATATATGATTTAAATATGTGTGTGTGATTTAAAAGTTTCACCTATAGAATGATTTCTGTGACTGCCACAGTCAGCAGAGTAACAATCCATGGTGGGATGGGGGGAGAAGGTAATTTAGTTTAACATGACTCAATAGCCAGTGTTGATTCAAACTTCAAGAGTGTGATCATGAGTGGTTTATTTTAGGCATATTTAAGCACAGCACAATTTGATTTAAAAAATTGTGATGATAATTAACTGTGTGTGCACAACAAAGCTTAAAATTCTCTGCCAAGTACATGTGACATCTTCCAAAAACATGGTTTCTGTAGATTGACATAAAACATCTTCCAGAAAGATGGGTTTTATGGATTAACTGAGAAAAGCATGTCAAAATAAGGGTGTCAACCACACAAATAGTGTAAAGGTCGCCAGACTATTAACCACAACTGCTCCCAGCCTTCTGGGTGGAAAACAGGTTATGTATCTCTCTGAAGATACACTCTGTGTGTTTGACCATGACTCCAGCATTGGTAACATAAGTATGCTGGCTTTTCTATGGCAGATAATCAGATCATAGCTAGCAGAGAATACAGCTGAGTCGTGGCTGGATACAGGAGAAAAATCATTATGGATCAATCTTTTTCTAGTCCTAGGGATGAATGCAGGTCTTTGTGTATGTTAAGCAAATGATCTACCACTGAGCTACAACCAGTTCGTTTTGACTTCTTGGTATTTAAACTCTGTCCTTTTTCAACTTGCCTGATTCAAGTTCCAAATTTCTTTTACCCCAAAACAGCACTTCTCCCCATTTTTCTCAATGCCACTTGTTGGGAACCATGTTGATTGTCCTGTCCAAAATACATATTTTAGACAGGTGTCTGCTTGTCTTCGATATCACTATTTCTCCACCCACCTCACCACGCCCTGCATCTTTTCAGGAAACAGTAGTCATTTTCTGAAGATTCAGCATTCTTGGGATATTTTTGAAGTGTTGCTTTGCTATGTGAGCTGCATGACATTTGGGATAACATAACACTTCCTGGCCCTGTTTTCCATGATGTTATACCTAACTATGATAGTCAATAGCCGTGCTATAAAATTCTCCATGAACTTCTTCCATCACTTCTCCTTTTCCATCACCCTCGATCCCTTCTCTTTTCATCTCTCCTCCCAGAATCTCCCTATGTAGCCCAGCCTGGAATGAACTCAAACTTGTGATAGCCTTGCTTTTACCTCCTAAATCTGAGTCTTGGGGCTGAGACACCATGCCCAATTGATTAATCTTTCTTTAGAATTAAATTACTTCACTAGAAGTTGTAAGGTAATGGTTTTTTAAATGTTTTTTTTAATTTTTTATCCTATGTGGAATTCTGCTATTGAACACTACTTTCTCTCATCGCAGGTGGGTTGTTTTATTACTTTGAAATACAGGGAACAGAGAAGTAGAATAAATATCCATTCAACTATCTTTAACAGAAAATTTTCAGAGTAATGCTTTTGAGATCAATAATTATTGTTTTATTCATCTCGCCTTTGTTATTGATTCACTTGTTTCTTTCCTCCCTTTTTAGGGAGGAATCCACAATGGATTCATATTTTTAAAAATATTCTGTATGTTCACTCAATATTATCATTTTGATACTCAAATTACTCTTTGGCCATTGAAATCCCCTCCAACTTACATCTCCAGTTTTTGACAGAGCAGCACTGGCATTTGTTTTGTTTTGTTTTGTTTTTACTATAACTCTAGTTTTTCTAGTCCAAATACATAGTCATCCTTTCTTCCAAGAAAACATATTAAGTAGAAATAGCTTTTAGGGGGTCACAAAAATGGCCTTAGGGATGTTCATAGTGCTGAGTTGCCTTTTCTTTCAGTCATTCAATTGACCAAGCTAAGAAAAAAGTATTGGTGAAAGAAAGATATCACGGATTTTGAATATCACCTATTTGAACTTAGGACTGAACTGTTTTTATTTAACTTCTTTAAAACTTGCCTTCAAACACTAAACATTTTGTTCCTTAGTAACATTAACATAGTTTTGCTTTAACAAAATTTATGTAATTATTTTAGTATAATGACATTACAACTAACATTTAGTACTAATGAATA